CTTCTCGTCGTCCCTCGAAGATGGTCGGTAGTCGTCATGTCCGTGCGCGTCAGTTCCCGACATGACGGTGTCCCTTGAAACGTCTGGATGGTCAACGTCCCGATCCATTGACGCTCTGGCCGAGTAACTGTCCCTTTCACTTTTGATGATAATCTCGCCGGGCTCGGGAAGATTGAGCGACTTCACAGATCCCTCCGTGGTCGAAGCATGAGAATCGGCCTTCGCATCACTACTACGAGGACGTCTGTCGTAATCGCCGTGATCGGCCGGAACACTGTCATGTCTGAAAGGTACTGGTCGGTTTTGCTGGGCGAAGCTCTGTGACCTCATTATCTTGGGCGACTCGGGGATCTTCTTACCCGCTAAAGCAGGGTTGATCCATTGTTTGCTCGACGGCCGTTGCTGCTTTTGTTGCTGGGCTCGGGGACCCGAGGGAATCGGTGGGCTGCCTTCTGGCAGACCTAGTTTGGCCGGTCCGGTGGGTGGAGCTGGAAATTCGCTGCCGCCAGAGTGTCCGGCGGACACAGGCCGTTCGGAGTTGAAAGCTCTTGGCGCCGTCGGTGGAAGCTTGCCGGTGCCACCAATAATGGGCGATCCGTCAGCTGCACCTGCGTTCCTACTGGGCACCGTCCCGAACGCTGGTGCTGATGGGGCTAGAGGCGGGGGAGAAATGTCCTTTGTGTTTGGCGACGGTGCCTGCGAGGATGCGCCGCGCTCACGGTCTCGTTCAATGCCCTTAGGTCGTAGCAGTTCTCGTTCGCGGGGATCACGAGGATCGCGGTCGTCGCGGGGATCCCTTCGAGCGTCGGAGTCCATCCATCTATCGCCACGATCACGGTCGTCTCGGTCGCGGCCCCAGCGCCCTTCCTGAGAGCGACTACGGGGACCGAATCGGTCGCGGTCGCGGTCATCATAAAAGCCTCCTCGCCCCCTGCCTCGGTCGCCCCAGCCCCCGCGTCCTCTATCTCTGCCTCCTCTAAAACCGCCGCGGGACATGAATGGAGGATCGGAATTGGAGGAACCGGCCGAGGGTGGTCCGCCGTCTCTCGAGCCTCGTCTAGATCTCTCGGCGTCGACGCCTAGTGGAGGATCTCTGTCTCGAAAATCTCGCTGCGGCGGTGATCGGCCTCTGCCTGGCGAACGCGGCCTTCCTCGGTAGCCTTCCCTATCTCTCCAGTCTCTATCGCGTTCTCGCTCGCGACTTCTCTCATCTCTGTAAGGTCCATCGCGTCTATCTCTGAAGTCAATATCGCGGTCTCTTCCGCGATCTCTGCTCTCATCGCGAGACCAACCGCGGCCACGACCTCTGCCCCGTCCTCTGCTGAACTCGCCAGCGTAGCCGCCACCTCTAGGGCCGCTTGGGGGGTCTAAAAGTGCTTTGGGGCCACGCGGGGGCTCACGGGATAGATTGTCGCGGAATGAATCTCTGTTATTTTGGAATGCGGAGTTGTTGGAGCGCGCTTCGGCCGATGAACGACGGCGGTCGCCATCGCTGTACTGCGAAGCGCGTTCGTAGCGATCGGGCGAGCGGTCGCGAGGCGACCTCGAGCGACGATCTCCGTCATACCTCGAGGAATATCTCGAAGCCCTGTAGAGATCGTGATTAGCATGAAAGGGCCGGTCGAGGTTACGCCTCACACCCGCATGACGGCCCGGGCGGTCATACGGCGGTCGCATCTGGGTGTCTCTTTCTGACAACGCCTGCTCTTGCGAGGGAGTGGCATCCGGTCTGGCTATCGCCGAAGAAGGAAAAAAGCTTGATGTAGAGATACGGATGGTTTGGGGTTGTTGTTTCGACTCGACTCACATGGCGCTAGGCTGGGCTGTCGCCCTTAAAGTTGGCTATGGAAAAGGTCCAATACCATATGTGTAAGGATTGGGACGTGGAACCAGAGAACCTTGGAACCTTGTGTGTCGTGGGTCGTTGGAAGACTTTGAGAGTGGTCGGGTTCCAACCTCGGATAAGCGTCTGTCGGTCGGTGTTCGCTGTTCAGGAGGTTAGGTAGCGGGAGAGCGGACACGGCGGGGAGTGGGTGCATCCGACAGCGGGTCGCGCAGTTGTGTGAGTGGATGATGGCGATTATGGATGGACGAGGATCAGAATAAGCATGAGCGTCGTCGGGTAATGCTGTAGAAAATGGAAAGGCGACTCGATTGTCGTTGCTGGTCGAGGTGCGGGCAGCGAGAGATGCGACACACTCTGGGGAGCAATCGTGTGATGTTGAAGGATTGAAGACGGTACCCCGGCCACGTTCAGCCTGCAAAATACGGTTCGCGTGCAGTGGCGCTTATTTGGCACTGGACTGCCCGGACTGGACTGGATCTCAAATCCGCCAGGCGCTGCCCGGGGGCTCCAGCGTGTTGGGGGGGCCGCGAGGCGGCAGGCCAGCTTCATTTTTACCGCCGCATACGCTAAGCCCGAAGAAGATGCTAGCGGGACCCCCGGCAGTTCACAGTGAGGCCCTGCCACTGCTGCCATGCCCTGCCAATTTCCAGCCTCCACTGCTGCCCGTCTTCCTTGTGTTCTCCGTGTTTTCTGTTCCATCTCTTGGCTCCGTTGGGCTGGGTGGCTCCTTGCTTACGTACAAGCGCGCAACAAGTTAAGGTACAGAGTACGGATACAGACGCCAACAAACAAACAAAAAAGAGAAGTCCACCTGGGTATTTGCCCTGTGCTAGAGCAACTGCGTAGCCTGCGTCCTCGCTATCGTCGTCGATGTCATCGTTGTCATCATCGTCGTCGTGACATGTAGCTCCTATCGCCTACCGTCGTCTTCTCTAATCCCTTCTACCGTCGTTATCGTCGTCTCTAGTCCCAAGAAAACACGGGAAAATCAGGCCGTCTTAAAAAAAGGATACGTACCTATATTACCTAAGAATTCGCGAACCCAAGCGTCAAGGATCGGCCCTGGCAGGCCTCAGACCCTGCGGCCCTTTCTCGTCCTCGACTCCACCTTTCCGTCAAAATTCTTTGCAGAGTGGAGCCCGGCCGACCTGTGCTCTGGACATCGCGGCGTGGAGTCACAGTCGTTCCATGCCCGTCTGACTCTGTCCGCCCGCGCATTCATTGGACGGAGCCATGTGGTTTGTGTCTGCAAGGTAGCTTGTGGATGGATTTTTCACAAGGTGGCTTCCCTCATCTACTTCCACCGCATCCTGATTTAAATCTCGGGTTGATTCAAGACTGAGACAGGGCTTTGTGTCTGGTTTTGGGTGTGCAATTCTCCGCCGATTCCTCGTGTCCACAATTTCAAGATCGCCACTCACAGGTATGTACCTGTTTAGCCAGCCTGAGACATCAATTTCACCTTGAAAATAATCCATCTCGCTCGTCTTCACCCCGATTCACTGCTTTCGGGTCTTGGACTGACGTGTGTCTAGTTCTGCTCAAAACAGGTAACATGGCGTCTCAAGAGAACCCCAACGCCCCGCCTGCGGCAGCAACCGATGCGGTGCTCGTTGTGTCCGAGGAGATGCCCGAGGGCACTCAGAAGGTGGAGGAGCTGGACTTTGACGACCTTGACGGGCCTATCACCGCCGAGAACCTATTCAACGGCATGAAGTACATGGGCTTCCAGGCCTCGTCTCTTGGCGAGTCCATCCGGATCATCAACGACATGGTAGGCTGTCACGCCGTCTTGTTGTGATGCGACCCAGCTGACATGGGTGAAAGAGGGCATGGCGAGACCCCGAGACAGGGGATAAGACCACCATCTTCCTCGGCTACACGTCGAATATGATTTCTTCCGGCATGAGAGGAGTGTTCCGATGGCTTGTAAAGCACAAGCACGTCTCTGCCATTGTGACAACGGCCGGTGGCGTCGAAGAGGACTTCATTAAGTGCCTCGGCGACACCTACATGTCCTCCTTTAGTGCACCCGGCGCCGACTTGCGCAAGAAGGGGCAGAACAGAATTGGCAACCTCGTCGTGCCAAACTCAAATTACCGCGCCTTCGAGGACTGGGTTGTGCCCATCTTTGACGCAATGTTGGAGGAGCAGGAGGCCAGCAAGGGTACCGACGATGAGATTAACTGGACACCATCCAAGATGATCCACCGTCTGGGCAAGGAAATCAACGACGAGCGCTCCGTCTACTACTGGGCGTGGAAGAATGACATCCCCGTCTTCTGTCCGGCACTTACCGACGGAAGCTTGGGAGACATGCTCTACTTCCACACGTTCAAGGCTTCGCCGAGACAGCTCAAGTGCGACATCGTCGAGGACATCCGCCGTATCAACACCATCTCGGTGCGTGCGAAGCGCGCTGGTATGATCATCCTCGGTGGCGGGGTGATCAAGCACCACATCGCAAACGCATGTTTAATGCGCAACGGCGCCGAGTCGGCCGTGTACATCAACACGGGCCAGGAGTTTGACGGAAGCGATGCCGGAGCCAGGCCGGACGAGGCCGTTTCTTGGGGAAAGATTAAGGTTAATGCAGATGCTGTCAAGGTATGTCGTACCGCAGAACTTTCGGAGACGAAGACAATGTTGACATTAAGTTATAGGTCTATGCAGATGCCACACTGGTGTTCCCATTCATCGTTGCAAACACTTTTGCCAAAGACCGTTCATAGAGGAAATAGACAAACCAATACCCAAAAAATAAGGCTTATTTCGGCTTCGTGCTTCTTGCTTTGTTCTTCGTGCAAGTGGCTCATTCCATTACATCATTGAGGGCGGGCTAGAGCAGGGGCTTGGTTGTCTTTGTTCTCTGCTCTGGTTGTGATGACGGTGTTGGAGACAACGTCCCAGGATGCGATCCTCGCGGGCGACCTATTTCAGAGATACCTTCGTTTAGTCCCTGCGGCAGGTCCTCGTCCGGTATTCCTCGGCACAGGAGACAGCAACCCGGAATGTCGCATTTGCAACAGCAGTCACGCTGATCACACTGTTGTCGGTTTCTTGAGCCATTCATCCTTCAGCAGTCAGCTAACCTTTCAACCACGTAAATTGAAAGGATACCGGACTCTTTCCAAGGGCTGTCATTATTGGAAACTTACATGTCGCCTGTCTCGGTTTGCGGTTCTGCATCGCTCGGCGGCCAATTCTCAGACTGTAGACTAGGCTCGGCAGCGTCCATATATGCGCCATATTTGCCATCATCCCAGCTCTCGTCTGCTGACAAGGTAGCCTCCCGGTCTACACCCTCGAGTAGAATCTCCGCTTGAGCGTTGGCTACGCGTGCAACCGAGGAGCCGCTAGAGCCAATACTTTGAGCCCCAGAAAGACTTTCTGCTTCGTCAATGAACGATTGCAATAGTCGCCGAGCTTCGTCTTCCCTGGCCTGCAGCGTTCCCGCGGACAGGTCTTTTAGCAAGAGATCGATGATCTCTCCCGGACATGTTGTTATCTCTTCTCTGACGGAGATTATGGTGTGTTCCGAGGCATAGCTTGGTAATGGGAGGTCGGACGCAGCCAAGCTGGCTTTGAACAACATCAGATTCAGTGCACAAACATCGGTGTCGGATACATGTTTAGAGTTCTGCCGGGTTCCAGGGCTCTCGAGAGTCTCTTTTTTCAGGTGACTGATGGGCGAACCATCGTCGGAATCGTACAGTGGTCGTTTGCGCTTGGCGTTCTGAATAGGGTCACAAGACATCGGCACCCAATGATTTTAACAAGTGAGGACTGGCAACAAACAAGAGGCATCGGTTTAGATTTGTTGTCTTGAGCTCGCTACTTTTTGTGTGCTTTAATAACAAAAGTTTTCCTATAGATGGCCTACCTTTCTCGACTTCGACGACACCGGGTAGGCGTAAAATGGTGCTCGCCTGACGGTTCGCGGACCAGATGCCACAAGGTTAGCCAGTTCGATGAGTACCTATTAGGGTGAACGATAGGGGTTCTTTTACATTTGCCATAGTTGCTTTGATGGATGCCAAACGTTGCCAGAAGGCACGGCCGTGTAGGTAGCCGCACTCGGCCGAGTCGGATTTCGGACTTTTTGATAGCGTCGCATGTTAGTGTAGATCGAGGTTGCATCAAATGGTTCAACGGTTCCCGATCAACTTGCAGTAGATCTAAGGTTGTCGGTCGTTTCTGAGGCATTGGCTTGCGGCCGGAATTGACCCGAATGGCTTGTAAGGAAATCCAGGAAAGCACCTTGAGAAGCTAGAGTTGCCTTCGCAGAAAGGCATGGAAACAGTAGAGGATTCGGTATGACGAGCGGTCACGTGACTGTTATCGATAAGCAAGTCGCGCGACGACGATCCTTCCAAGTCTCCTAGCTTGCCTTCGTTGGTAAACAGCTGCACCCATCCGAAATTCTCACGTCGCAATCTTCTTAACACCAGCCTCACTCGTCAGTCTCGACACTAGAATCGAATACCGGGCTGGTGAGAGGTTTCCTATCGACCGATCAAGATGTCGTCCATCTACAATCTCGAGCCGCAGCCAACGGCATCGGTAATCATGCATACGACGCAGGGCGACATCTCGGTTGAACTTTTCGCGAAGCAAACACCACTTACCTGCCGCAACTTCCTCCAGCTGGCCCTCGACGGCTATTATGACAACACAATCTTCCACCGACTCGTGCCTGGCTTTATTCTGCAGGGAGGCGACCCGACCGGCACAGGCAATGGAGGAGAGTCGATCTACGACGGCGGCGCCTTCAGCGGCGAGCTTGACGCCTGGCCAATGGACCAGCGACGTGGAAACAACGCGGGTCCCACGGGTATCGGTTTCAAAGATGAGTTCCACTCACGATTGAAGTGGAATCGGCGCGGGCAGTTTGGCATGGCGAACGAGAGCAAACCCGACACGAACGGTAGTCAGTTCTTTTTCACGCTCGACAAGGCCGAGGAGCTCAACAACAAAAATACCCTGTTCGGTCGAGTCGCGGGCGATACGATTTACAACTTGGCGAAGATGGGCGAGTTGGAGGTCACACCTGGGACGGATCGACCGATGTATCCCGTCAAGATCACGAGCATTGAAATCCTCGTGAATCCCTTCGAGGACATGGTGAAGCGATCGAGGGTCGCGACCCAAGCACCAAAGACTGTGGTGGTCGAAAGAAAGAAGAAGAGGAAAGGGGGGAAACAACTACTGAGCTTTGGGGATGAGGAGGGGGATGCGGAGGAGGTTCCGGTTCTGAAAAAGACCAAGTTCGACACTAGGATCGTGATGGATATGCAGGAAGAGGAACCCGCCCAAACGAAAACCAAACCGAAAAAGGCCAAGACGAAAGAGAACAAGGTGGAATCAGCAGCCCCTCCTGCGAGACACGAATCCACTCCCGTTGAGGAAGTAGCGGCGATACCGCCGAAGGAACCATTGTCACCGCCGAGGAAGAGTGACATTCCAATTCGGGCACCAGCGTCTCCAACGCCCGAACCCGATGACCGGCCGCGCAAATCGAAGCTCGAGATGATGAACGATGAGATTAAAGCACTCAAGGCGGGAATGATGCGGAGCAATCAGCCCGAGGAGGTCAAGGAAACCAAAAAGTCTGCTCTCGAGAGCATGATCCCAGAAACATCGATACGCGGCCGGAAGAGAAGGGGCGGGGGAAACACGAGCGCCCGCGAAGACCAACAAGCGCTGGATTTCATGAAGGCATTCAAGTCGAAGCTGGAGCAAGCTCCGGAGGAAAAGGACAGTGGGCCGGTATCTGTCGATCCGGAGGAGACCGGGGAAGAAAAACAAGGCGCGGAGGAGGAGGCAGAACTTTGTGATTTGCACTTCATCGCCGATTGCCAAAGCTGCAAGGCATGGGACCAAGCTGGACAGGAAGACAGCGACGACGAGGGATGGATGTCGCATGCACTCAGTTTCAAGGCAGATAAGCTGGGCAAGGACCTGAGTTACCGTAAGAAGGCCGAAGACGAGTTGGTTGTGATTGATCCCAGGGAAAAGGCCCGGACGCTCCAGGAAGAACGGAAGGCATCGCGAGAGGCCCGGAGCGGAAACTCCGGACGGGAGTGGGATCAGGCACGGAATGCAAAGATGGCGAGAGCTTCGGCTCTTGCGGGCAGAGGAGCAAGGTAGAAGAGACAAGAGAAGACGGGCCAAACGGGCCAAGCGACAAGGGTGCAATGCGACTCTGGGTTGCGTATTTGTCGAGGAAGCCAATGATACCCCTGGAAGGTCGTGTTGAGGAGTTTTGAAAGTTCAGGGACGCGTTAGTAATTGGGTTTCCGTGATGCTATTCAGACAATAATTGAATTGGGGCCGTGCCTTGGAGGCTGAGATCGAAGAATAAGCTAGGAATCGGGGAAAAATGACGTTACAAATGCAAAGGCTCCCCGCCGGCTCCACATGCCTCATCGCGATGGCCTCAGAGGGGAAATGGCCTGGGATGTGCTTCGCAGTTGTCACCAGTGTCACCTCAGAGAAACGGCAGTTCGGCCGAGTCTAGACCCCATGTTTGGAGCAGCACAGGTGGAAACACAGCTGGTGCCAGCCTGTCGGATGGATCCCCCGGTCGAGGGCACGCTGCAGACGGGCATGCTGACAGCTGGTGGCTCTTGCGCCTGGCTCATGCATATCCATTGTACGGCTATGCTGCACAATGCAAAGTTGACCACCGGTGAAGGGATAACGGGGTGGTTCGTTCTGTGTACAGCGGTGGCAGCACGTGATGCTTTGGCTTAGCACACCGATGAAGCCCCCAGCTGATTGGTCCGGACGATCTGTCCCGTGGCAAAGGGACCTCATCCCGACCAACTCGAGGCCCCCGAATGCCCACGGTGCCCAGGCATGTGGTGTACCTATGTTCTGTGAAGGGAGGGGGGGAACACTGTTTGGATGGGGCTCTTGCTTGTTCAGGGTCCCCACTTTGGGGGACCTCAGCCTTGAATCCCCTTGGAGAGCCGTTGTCTTGATAATGGGAGCATCATCCTCTCCCTTCAAGTGTTCAGACGGTCTAGACAAATTCAGATCAATCTCTTTCGAATCTTCCTGCTCTACTGTCAAGCCCTCAACTTTTCCCCCGTCTGCATGGGTGTCCAGCTGTCTTGTGTCTCAATTGTTAGGCACTGACACAACCACATTTCTGAAATCTTTTTGCCAACCAAGACACCGCTCTGTCCTGCAGCGTGCGTGCAGTCTTAGCTGCGTTCCCCCCACCAGGCCTGGTAGAGGGGAGAAAAAAAAAAAGTACGGACGCGCTCCGCCGCCAACGCCTCCAGCACACTACCTACTCCACGTTGCGCTGACTGAACTGGCGAGCGACTGGATGAGACTGGCGCCTAACGTCTTACCTCACGTTGACACCAACCTGGCCTTACTCACCTAGGTCGCCTTACCTAAGGTCCCTTGGGCCAACACACATTCCGTCACCTCTCCGCCAAAAGAAGCGGACCTCCCATTCAGAGCTTTCGCAAAGTCCTCCGAGACCAAGACAATCCCATCCTTGCGCCGAAACTGACGACCGCCTTATCGCAACAAGGCCCCTTTGCCCGCCCGAACTTCGAACGATTGTCCTGCTGTTTCTCCCTCACGATACAATTCCTTTGCGAAAGACCACCCCAGGCTACCAGCGATTGACTGAGGCTCTGGCGTGCCTGCCTTTGACGACCGTGACACACCTTAAACCAACCCACCGCCGTCGTCATATATAGCGCCTGTGCGGTGCACCTCTGCCACGAGCTCCTGGAACCCCAGCGCGCCTGCCCGACCAGACCACGACGACGACAACAACGCCGCTCTTCCTTCGTTTCCCGCCAGAGCCGGCCTTGCGCATGCGACAAGCGCCCTTCCGCCTCTGCTGCACGATCCCGACCGATCCATCCGTCCTTGGTCCTGCAATCCAATAGCCTTCAGGAGAAGAAGGTTTGCTGCCACAACTCGACAAGGCTGTCAGGCAACCTGCACCCCGAAATTTACAATACAATCAACAACCGCGGCCCGCGACAAAAAAAAACATCAAACGAGTTCCCGCTGTTGAGAAGGTCCCTGCAGCCGCCACTGTCCTCAACCCCCGAGGCTCTGCATATCACGGCGACTTGGTCGATTTCTCGACGGCCTTCGCTCGCACGTTTGCGATACTTACATGTACATACCCATGTCTTCGAACCCCCGAAAGAGACCAGCTCCAGGAACATCACCAGCACCTGCCATGCCGATGCCAGCAGTTCAGCCGTCCTTTCCCAGCCCGACGGGCGATCAGTTTTTGCGATGGGCAGGAGCAGACGGGACCGCCCTTGTCGATGGAACCGCACCCCCAGCCGTGAATTCGTATGGCATTGTCCCCGGCCAACAACAGCAATTCGTGCAGCCCACGCCGAGCCCCAACAATGCTCTTGCACGAAGACAGATGAACAGAGCGCTTGTGCCCACCGCTGCCAGGCCAAATTTCGATTCTGCCGCCGACCCCTGGTTCGTTGGTGACGACAACGCCCTTCTACAACAGCAGCAGCAACAACCAAACGGCAACATGACGGCCACCGATAACATTGAGGCGCTGGAGGAGATGGCTCGCAAGGCCATGAGAGAGGCGCAGCAGAAGAGGAAGCAAATCCCGCCCTTCGTCCAGAAGCTCAGCAGGTCAGAGATTTCCGTGCCCCTCCCAAGCGATGCGATCAGCACGCTGAGTGTGGGGATTGTTTACTGTGTGACGTACTGACCTTTGCGTAGCTTTTTGGACGACGACAA